TTTTTTTTGAGATGGAGTTTTGCTCTTGTTGTCCAGGCTGGAGTGCAATGGTGCAATCTTGGTTCACTGCAACCTCCACCTCCCAGGTTCAAGCAATTCTGCTTCAGCCTCCAAAGTTGCTGAGACTACAGGTGCCCGCCACTACACCCAGCTAATTTTTTTGTATTTTTTGTAGAGATGGGTTTTTGCCGTGTTGGCCAGGTTGTTCTCAAACTCCTGACCTCAGGTAATCCACCTGCCTTAGCCTCCCAAAGTTCTGGGAATACAGGCATGAGCCACCAAGCCCAGCCAGTACCAATTATTAATTGCATTAAATCTTGACCCTACAGTACATGTCTTTTTAATATTTTGAGTGAAGAAATGGAAATATGCATATAGCATTTCTGCCTGCAATAGTTGTCTCATGGTTTGTCAAGATAAAACTCGTGTCCCATTAAACTAACCTTTGGTCTGGTGACTCAACCCATAATCCAAACACTGTGGGAGGCCAAGGCGGGAGGATCTCGAGATCAGGAGTTTGAGACCAGCCTGGGCAACATGGTGAAACCAGACTTGTACAAAAAATTAGCTAGGCATGGTCACCACACCAGGCTAATTTTTGTACTTTTTTGTAGAGATGGGTTTTCAATTCGCCCAGGCTGGTCTTAAACTCCTGACCTCAACTGATCCTTCCACCTTGACCTCCCAAAGTTTTGGGATTATGGGCATGAGCCATTGTGCCTAGCCCCTCTGCCTATTTTTATTTGGGTTGTCTTTTATCGTTGTTGAGTTGCAGATTTCTTTACATATTCTAGATACTAGACTCTCATCAAATACGATTTTAAAATACTTTTCTTTTCACTCTCAAGTATCCCTTTGATGCACACACCCAAAAAAGGGGATAGTGTTCAATTGCATTCTTTGATGCAACTGGACCCCCTCCCCCTCTCCCTCCCCCTCCCTATCTCCCTCCCCCCTTCCCCTCCTTACAGGGTCTCACTGTTGCCCAGGCTGGAGTGCAGTGGCACAATGACAGCTCACTGTAGTTTCAACCTCCCAGGCTCAAGCGGTCCTCCCACTTTAGCCTCCCAAGTAGCTGGGACTATAGGCGTGCACCACTGTGCCTGGCTAATTTTTGTATTTTCTGTATTTTTTGTAGAGATGGGGTTTCACCATGTTGCCCAGGCTGGTCTTGAATTCCTCAGCTCAAGTGATCCTCCCTTCTTGGCCTCCCAAATTGCTGGGATTATAGGCGTGAGCCATTATGCCCAGCCTATGGTTGTTTTTAAATTAACAGACTATTTTGGGCGGACAGTTTTAGGCTTACAGAAAAATTGGGCAGAAAGTACAGAGAATTCCAGGCCTGAGAGCTGTGGCTCATGCCTGTAATCCCAACACTTTGGGAGGCCAAGGATGGAGGATCACTTGAGCTCAGGAGTTTGAGACCAGCCTGGGCAACATGGTGAAACCCTGTCTCTACAAAAAATACAAATATTAGCCAGGCGCAGTAGTGCACACCTGTAGTCCAGCTACTTGGGAGGCTGAGGTAGGAGGATCACTTGAGCCCGGAAGGTCAAGGCTGCAGTGAGTCAAGACTGTGCCACTGCCCCTCCAGCCTGGGTGACAGAGGAAGACTCTGTCTCAAAAAAAAAAAAAAAGGTGCAGAGAGTTCCCATATCCCCCTTCAGGCTCCCCATTTATCCTATTATTAACCTTTTTCAATTAGTGTGGTGCATTTGTTACAACTGATGAACCAGTAATGTATATTATTAACATAGTCCATATTGATACATTATAATTAACAAAGTCCATAAATTACATTAGGGTTTACTCTTTGCATTGTACATTCTATTGGTTTACACACAGGTATGACGTATATCCACCATGACACTATTACAACATCATACAAAATAGTTTCACTTCTGTAAAACTCCCCCGTGCTCCACCTACCATCCCTTCCTCCCAGCAACTCTACCTCCCTGGCAGTCACTGATCTTTTTATTGTCTCCAGAGTTTAGCCTTTTTAGAATATCATTTAGTTGAGGTCAAGTGCAGTGCCTCATGCCTGTATTCCCAGCACTTTGGGAGGCTGAAGGGGGAGGATTGCTTGAGACCAGGAGTTCAAGACCATCTTGGGCAATATAGCAAGACCTCAAAAAAAAAAAAAAAAATATATATATATATATATATATATGTATATATGCCATATAGTTGGAATCATACAGTTTGTAGTCTTTCCACATTGATTTCTTTCACTTGGCAATATGAATTTAAGCGTCCTCCATGTTTTTTCATGGTTTGATAGCTTTTTTATTTTCATTTTTTTGAAATGGCTCTCGTTATGTTGCCCCAGCTGGTCTCAAACTCCTGAACTAAGAGATTGTCTTGCCTCAGTCTCCAGAAAAGCTGGAAATAGCTGAGACTACAGGTACATGCCTTTTTTTTTTCTTTGAGACAGAGTCTTGCATGTTAGTCAGGCTGGTCTTGAACTGCTGACCTCACTCAAGTAATCCACTCACCTCAGCCTCCCAAAATGTTGGAATTACAGGCATGAGCCACTGCACCTGGCCTCAAAAATGTCTAATATGGCAAATATTGAAAGATATAATCCACATAAACAAAGCTTTTAGGATCTTCTATAATTTCTTTTTTTTTTTTGAGATGGTGTTTTCACTCTTGTTGCCCAGGTTGGAGTGCAATGGCATGATCTCAGCTCACTGCAGCCTCTGCCTCCTGGGTTTCGGCAATTTTCCTGCCTCAGCCTCCCGAGTAGCTGGGATTACAGGCATGGGTCATCACGCCTGGCTAATTTTGTATTTTTAGTAGAGACAGGGGTTTCCCCATGTTGATCAGGCTGGTTTCAAACTCCCAACCTCAGGTGATCCACCCGCCTCCACCTCCCAAAGTGCTGAGATTACAGGCGTGAGCTACTGCACCCGGCCTCTTCTATAGTTTCTAATACTGTAAATGGGTCCCAAGACCCAACAGTTTGAGAACTGTTTCTCTGGGATGCCTTCTTCTTTTCCTGATGGCTAATCCCAGTCAAGAGATTTAGGTATTACAATTCTGTTCCGGACTCGCCTCTCTGAGAAACTTCGCCGATGGGCCACACTCTACTCAGTGCCCTTGCTCTGTATCCCCTCTTCAGTTATGTTGTTCCTGTTTCTCCAGCTGCCCGCCCGCCCTCCCTTCCTTCCTTCCCTCCCTCCCTTTCTCCCTTCCTACTTTCCTCCTTCCCTCCCTCCCTTCCTCTCCTTCCTTCTCTCCCTTCTTCCTTCCTGCTCTTCCTTCCTTCCTTCTCTTCCTTCCTGCTCTTCCCCACTTCCTTCCTCCTCTTTCCTTCCTTTTTTTTTGAGACGGAGTCTAGCTCTGTAGCCCAGCCTGAGGTGCAGTGGCACGATCTCGGCTCACTGCAACCTCTGCCTCCCAAGTTCCAGCGATTCTTGTGCCTCAGCCTCCAGGGTAGCTGGGATTACGGGCGCACCACCATACATGAATAATTTTTGTATTTTTAGTAGAGACGGGTTTCACCATGTTGGCCAGGGTAATATCTGAGCTCCTCACCTCCAGTGATCTGCCCGCCTTGGCCTTCCAAAGTGCTGGGACTACAGGCGTGAGCCAATGCACCAGGCTTTTTTT